ACGTCATTTTAGAACAGCTATAACTACCCCTACAGTTCATCACCAAGACATAATAATGACACTTCCGCTCTAGCCAGTTAAAACTTAAAATACCACATCAATACTACGTATCCAGTTAAAATATTACGTATCCAGGATAAACTCACTCCAAACACTTCCGTCACCAAATCTCCTGCATACTCTATCGTAACCCTCCAACAAAGTTGTTAAAAAACACATACAAGATAGTTATATAGTCACAATATAGCTGCATTGTAAGAGAGCAGCTCAGTGCTACCAGCTTCATGCCATATAACTGTTGCAGCATCAAAAGAGCTTCAGCAGTTCCTGGCGACCCTATAGACGCGCTTTACCGGTATTTATAGGGGCTGCATGTGGACTAATCCTGCAGTTGTTCCTGTTGAGCAGTTGTTGTTGTGTGCTCTCAGTCAGTGGTGGACATTAGGTGGACATTAGGTGGACATTAGGTGGACATTAGGTGGACATTAAGTGGACATTAGGTGGACATTAGGTGGACATTAGGTGGACATTAGGTGGAAATTAGGTGGACATTAGGTGGACATTAGGTGGACATTAGGTGGACATTAGGTGGACATTAGGTGGACATTAGGTGGACATTAGGTGGACATTAGGTGGACATTAGGTGGACATTAGGTGGACATTAGGTGGACATTAGGTAAAAATTAGGTGGAAATTAGGTTGACATTAGGTGGACATTAGGTGGACATTAGGTGGACATTAGGTGGACATTAGGTCGACATTAGGTGGACATTAGGTGGACATTAGATCAGTTAGCTCGAGTGGAGCTATGTTTAGTTTTCTGTTTATATTCATGGGTTTTATGTCAGGTTATTTGTAGGGCCTGCACTCTGCAGTATAGTAGGGCAGCTGCATTGCTATATCCTGGAGTAGTTTCTGTTCAACATGTGGATCATACTTCAATTTTAAACGTCGTGGGTTTACTGATTTCAGATGGTTTATCTATTATTTGCTTTTAGTTAAAGATCATAAATTATTTGAGCTATCACAACTGATATTAGTCTGTGTGGTTCTAATTCAGTAGTCCGATTACACGGTCAGTCACATATTTTATTTGCCATTGATATCAATTAACGGATCAGTTGGCATGACTTAATGAAAGTTACAATTAAATACCATATATTTGATAGAACGGCAACATTTTTTTGGTTCAGTGGTTCCAAAATTATTAGAGATTGAGATGTTTTCACCAATGCATATTAATGCTTTTCAAACAAAGTTACAACGAATTCTTCTTAGAGTGCATCCTGGGTTTGGACAGGATATGCCCGTTTGAAATATTTCCATCGCGTTACATTACATAATTCTCAATAAATGTAATATATTTGTAGTGTTGTAATTAGTTTAAAATGGATCTGCCGATTCAAACGCCAACAGACCCCACGGATCCTATGGCTACCATGAACACACAAAGGCACCAATAATCTAAATATCTGTAGCCATGTATCTCCTTAAGTTCTAAGTAAAGCCTACGACAAGACAAGACAGTAGGTCTAATAGCAAGCTTTATTGTCCACATGAACGTCTAGCACCATCTAAGTCACCATCAGAGATCGTGGTGCCAAATACCCCATTAAAAAAGTGGTTCAAATGGTGTCACTGAAAGGTATTATATCAAAGATGTATGCTGCCATGGAAAATTTGCATGGCCCTTTTCCCGTTTTCCTGCGATTTTTACTCTATCTTGCCACGTTTTCCGTCATATCTCACCTTAGTGAGAGCTTACATCTAGCAAGACTCAATTTACACCAATTGTTAAAAAGTGTGCTAAATATTCAATAAACATAGTTCATTATTGTATGTTGTACTTTGTGAATTATATATATTGTAATTCTGCACAGTTCTTGCAGTCGAATGCTGCAGTCGAGGCTTCTTTTTAAACATGTCAAACCTACTAAGTCTTCCCTTTTTTGAAATCGCCTATAGTTATTTTTTTCTGAGGATTAAGAAATGTAGCTCAAATTGATATGTGGTTTTAAAGTTAAGTCTGACTGATTTATCCAATTTTCTACATAATTTTCTACAGAACCTGTCCTTAAATACCGTAATTTAAACCTTTTGCAAGGATTTTACAATTTTGTTCGTTGAAAGGTTGAGGTCAATTGTAATCACTCAAACAGTTTTAAATTATTGTCAAGGGGAATTCTCAAAATCTCATTGCCGTTCTTTAGAATGATTATTTTTATATTATGATTATTTACTTGTTTATACTTATCATCCGGTCCCTCAAGTTGCATTTCCTTCAGCCATAACGTAGAATTTGATTAAAATACATTTGGGCATTCGAAAAAAACCTCAAATTGCAATAATCTGTCGGTAAGGCTGTGGCTGAAGTGATAAAACATTACAATAGACCTATAAAAAGAAGGTTACTGCTTCTTCGGAATTTTTTGATTGATCATAACGCCCAATTCAAATTTTTTGTGATAATTTAAATTGAATTACCAAACCTTTTAGAATAACTTTAGCATGACTTATGTAACAATAAATGAATTAACAATAGAGTTACTGGGTAAAGCAATACTGAGATATGTTCTCTCGAACTAGCTCGTTGGTCCAGGAATGGAAATAACTGAATAAAAATATTACCATTGTTTTGATTCATCCCCTATAAATATGTGGAGCAGATGCATACAATATTAGAATATTGATTTAACCGTCATTTCTATTTGTGATTTCCCGATTACTGGCAGTCTGATTTATCTAGAGCTACAGACTAAAAGGTTATCTTCATAAGTCCCCAATTACTTAAATTTATTGATATAATATTAAAAACAGTCACTCTAGATAATCTCATTTGTCACTTACGCCATGATTAGATTACGATTTGGTTCCAATGATTCGTAAGTTGATTACCCAATTCAGGCTTTTTAAGAGGTATAATTCAGTGAATGGATATTTAGCGTTTCAACATAATTTGTTATTAAAATTTGTTCACATTTAGTTATATATTTGATATGCGCTATATGGAAATAATTTAATAGATAATCTAACAATGATTTAATAAATTCAGCCCGGTCACAGGACGTCAACATGTTATGATATGAAAACATATATCTTTAGTATCGGTTATTTTAGAACGTAATCCTATTTTGTTCTGCAGTTTTCTCCGGTATTTGTTATTTAGTATCTCTATGTAAAAACAATTTAACTATCATCAGAATTGTGCAAAAACATTCATAATAACGTTAACATTAAGACGTATAACCATATATTTGTCTGCATAAGTTTACTCGTGAAAAATTAATTCATATTATCACTCCGATAATAACAAATATTTTAACGGGCTTCCGGCTTATCATCAACAATCAAGTTACAAAGTCTAAAAGTCTGTTCATTGCACGGAACCTGACTTACACTTCTTGGCTTCTGAATAAATTCACTAGTTACATATCGTCTCTCGGCTGATATTTGTTAGCCTTCTTAACATTTCCTTTATTTGCCAAGTTTACAGATTTAAGTTATAACAGTTGTGATCTTGTTATATTAGATTAGTTATGTAACGGCTTTATTAGTTCACCAATCAGCATGTTCTCTAATCTTCTGCATATTTGTACCCGATATTGGAGAATTAACAGACGATCATGATACAGACTACAGTGTCTGCGCTGAATCTGCACAGTTACTGCACTATATCTGCATTATATTTGCACTATATCTCCACTATATATCCACTATATCAGATCTAAGTTTTTAAACAGACATAAGTTCCAGCCCGTTTTCTGTGGCAAGAACCCTCACAACATCACTGATTATCATTGGTATTTGATGAGTAGCAGTAGACTTCGGTAGATTGCACTGCAGCACACTTATCAGGCTTTACTGCACTAAGAGGAGCTGCACAGAGCAATTCTTCAAGAATCTTTATTCTTACTAATAATCCGTCCTCGTAAAGTTATTTCTAGTTCATCAAAGAGAGATAAGATATTTTTAGTTTAAGTTTTTCTCTCACCGTGCCATGATGTCTTGTGTAAATCGGTTAGTGATCCTCAAAGGAGGATACGTATCTTTAAAAGCTGATATACCAGAGATATGTTAATCAGATATTTAAAGAAGCCTCTCCAGATGATAAGTCTTTGGGGTCTGCGTGATAATTGCCGTAATTTTTGGTTACCTAGGCGATCGAGTTTTGTTACCTTAGCGATCAAGTGTTGTCAATTTGATAAAATTTGTTGGTGTTATAATTGACAAACTGCATGCAAATTATGCGATATGTTTCAATATTGATTGATATAATTTTAAAACCATTGACACGAATACACAAATAAAAGGAATTTTGTCGTTTGTGTTTGCCTGTTACTATGGCAATTGACACAATCTTTGTTGATTAAGATACATCTTAAGAATAATAGATATTTTTAAAAGCTTGACAATTACGCTGAGTTATATTTCTCTGCAAGTGCCCGAGAAGTGAGAACTAAGATAGTTACGCTTTATTAATTATTCTTAAACATACCCTCGTAATATTATCTCGAGATTTTAACACCTTATTTTCGGGGCAACACAATTGGGTTATTCCTTGCAGTTTCAATTAATCAATAGCAATAGTGCACCCAACTTATTGATGACGTTACTTTTACTAACGATGAATCGATTAAGTGTATTACTTTATTGAGTGTTATCTTATTACTGTAGACCGATGCGCTTATGATTAAATAAAGTTATTATCCTAATCAGATCGGTTTTATATTTACCGTGCTTATGCCACCGTAATTGGATAATTGTCTAGCAAAAAAGAAAGACACCGAAACTGTGTAGAAAGTTATTAAATTAGCGGTGTAGAAAAAATATATCTTAACTTATCAAAGCTTTTTGAAAATCGATCTGAGAAGCGATAATACGAAATAAAGTGCCCTTGTTTAGAAAACAATCGTTGCCATTTTTCTTGCGGCATGGTTCACGTTAAAATTAGCGATTATATACAAGTGATTTTTGAAGAAGGACTCAGTTTTTTGTTTCAGTTCAGATATGACAATGGCTGTGTCAGTGCTAGCGTACATCCTTCCCTTCTTTTGCTCGTTTACTTTGCTTTCATCAACTGATCCCGAGGTAAGACTTATTGTTCTTTATTCGCTAAACGATATGATCAATAATTTGATTTAGAAAGTCAATTTATTGGCGATGATAGATTTAACCTTCATCAAAGCTGCTCGCTCACTTTTCGGAAATCCAGTCTTTCCAAGAAATCATTAACTTCACTTTCAACTATAATAGTAATAAGTACCTCAACAAACGAATCACGAATGAGGCCAGTAAGTTTTAGAAGCCCTAAATCCAACATGTTACAGGATTATTTGAAGAAGTACGGATACTTAGAGATAGACCCAGCGGCAGCTACAAACGGAGAAGAACATCTTAGCAGTTCTATCTTAAAGTTTCAGGTAAGCCGATTATAAATCATTGTATGTTGTACACGGCACTTTTTAAAGAAATTATTATAATTGTTGTTTAAATGCTCAATCTAGCCAACATATTTCACATATTCATTATCATAGCATTTCTATGGGGGTACCCTATGTGCGTATGTTGTCTTTCACTGTTTCACTGTTGGTGTTTTGTTTTAAATCCAGTTCCAGAAGCCATCAGAATAGAAAAGTGCGACCAATCCAGCGCCTAACTCTAGTATCAATTCATCGTCTGAGTCCATCTACGAGTCGTCTAAAACTTCTAAAAGTTCCAAAACTGCAGCTACTACAACACTTGCCCCTATATAATATAATAACTCTACAACTAATTGCTCTGCACTGATGGTCTTAACATTGTTGTCATTGTTACGGTTTCAGGCCTCACGGGGATTTGCATAGCTGGCTACAGACTTGCTGCTGATTAACAGGTTTCGTAAGACATTCCATCAGAAATCCAACTAGCACAAAAGCTTATCAAAGTTAGGGGACACACCATAGTGCAATTTTAGGTGTATTAGAAGTTTTGTTGAGTTTTAACTTTAAACAGGTATATCCTGGCAATTAAACAAATATCTCTTAAATTCTTATCAATATCATGCGCTCAACTTTTGCAGGGATTCTGGGTCTAATTTTATGAATGAAATATTGCAAATATCTACTTTTACGGTAATATAAGGGTATACCTGAGAGTGCCGACAAATGCGTCCAAAAGGGCAAAAGCGACCGATTTTTCGGATATTTAAGATTTTACCAAAGATCACGTTGTGATACCTACTGGAGGTTTTCGTGAAGTGTTTTGGTGATCACGCGTTTCCAATTTATTTCAAGTATAGCGAGAATTCTGCAAAATTGAACTGAAGCTACCTTAACTGCGCTGTGCAGTCCATACGACATCCGACAAATCTTAACAAAAGCTACCATTACCAATTTTTATGGTCTTACTGTTATATCCTGTGGAATGTGGAGATCTCAAATCACGTACTGACACTGTAAAATTTTAATAAGTTTAGATTGGAAAAGTTTTACATTAAGAAAAATGAATGTTAATGTTAGATTATGGAGCTCACGTTTCGAAAGTCTTGGTTTTTGTTAAACTGATTCGCGTTCCCAATGAAGTTCTAGCAAGAATACCATTGACCTGCAAAACTTGCGTGGTTTCTTGATATTTGAGGAGGATAGCAAATAATTTTGCAAGAGATTCTGAGGAATTTTGTGCGGTTTAACAACTATATGAATATCATTTATAGACTTTCTAGAATTACTCCTCCAAATATAGACGTGAACGAATGATTTTCACGGGCAGAAAATATTTCCTAAATCACACTGTTACTGATAAAGATATTTATCTCCAGGTAGCTTTGGAATTAACTAATTTATTTATTTTACTTATATTTATTAAACTTTATTTTCTTTTCAGGATTACCATAGTCTAAATCTAACTGGTGTATTGGACGATGAAACACTTCAAAAAATGGCCACTCCACGATGTGGGATGCCAGATTTTGAGCCTGAACAATCCACCTCAGGGTAAGTCATATAATTAACTTATTAACCGCCTTAACTGTAGGTAAAAGCGACTTCAACTGACAAGTTTTCGTTAGAACCAATCTTTAGTTCCTCCTCATGTATGTTATAAACTATCGGTTTTAGGAATTTGTAAGCCACTGACATAGCTGGCATGGCCTTGATAATTTGTCAAAGTTTTTGTATGTCTTCGATGATGCTGGCGGTTTATTTTGACATTTTCCTTGAAACCTTAAATTCCGCTTAAATTATCACTTTATTATTACATTTTCAGTGTCGTAACTATCAAATATATCATTATACTAATATATCCATTTCATCATGACAATATATTGCAGGCGCCTGAAAAGATACGCAATTGCTTCCAAATGGAGAAGAAAGGATCTCAAATACCTTATATCAAAGTACTCCGAGCAAAAAAGCCTAGCTAAATCTTCGATTGACGACATATTTTCCTCTGCCCTAGATCTGTGGCAGGATTCTGCCGACTTGACGTTTACAAAGACCCACAAAGAAAAGCATGCCGACTTAATAGTGTCGTTTGTTAAAGGGTCTCACGAGACCAACAGAACCTCTCACATGGATAAAAAGTAAGAGTTCTGAAAAATCTTTTTCTAATTTAAAAAAATGTCCACCTGCTGGCTGCTAGGGTCAAATACAAATTATATAAGACCGACCATCCAGATTGATCAGTCAATTCGCCATAGAAGAATTGTTATTGCAGTAACTTAATAAAATAATGACTTAAGTGCCGACAGAAATTGTTAAGGTATTAGAGTAGTTACCTAGATCCTGCTTTTGAAGTGCTCTGAAGTCTGATAAAAAGCGTAACTGAGTGCCACTTGAAGCTGTATTTTGACACTTCAAGTGATATTCTACCACTTCCAACTCGCTAGTCGTGCGTTTCAAGCCGATTTCAGCAGTATAATCCGATTCAGTACAGCCAGCTTGTCGATACTACTTTGATTATTTTACAATTTACTGTAAATCAAAGGCCCGCTCAAAATAAAGCTTCTGATGGTAATCGGTTTTGCTTCAATCGCTCTATTGCGAGCTTCAAACGCACTTTCTAGTTCTTCAAGCGCACTAAACCTTTAAAGGGGTTGGTCCAAGCTCTAAAAATATAAAAGATTCCGTAATAATTCGAAATGAAGGTGCGTATTAAAACACTTAACAATAATTGAAAAGCGATAATTTATCCCCTACAAGCTGTACCTGTAAATATCAATTATATGTATTATTAAACTTGCCCTTCCCCCAGATTATCATTTGATGGACCGGGTGGAGTATTAGCTCACGCTTCCTTCCCGACTGTTGGGGAAATACATTTTGATGACGACGAAAACTGGCTGTTAAATGGAGCCCAAAAAGATGGCTATGATCTCATGTGGGTGAGTAACCTTTCAATTAATTAATTATAATTATTATTTATCAATTATTTAATTATAATTATTCGTTTATCGTGAGGTTTTGAGCGGTTATCGTCACTTTGGAGACAGGGCGTGACAGGGCGTTTTTTACTTTTAATCTTTTGAATCAGATTTTTAAGCCGTGCAACATTTGCAAGTATCTGTGGCAATTTGTAGGACTGTCGTTGGAACCACTAATTAAAGTGAAAGGTTACAGGGTGTATTTTAGGTAGATAAGGTCCCATGTGTATAAGAGAATGGAAAACGTATTAAGGGTTCAAGTTCCACGTACGTACCGAGCGTCATTATCTTTCACCAAATAAGTGGATTATTAGATTTGGCTCGTGGACACGTTACCAACCATGAACCATGAATTGTGAATATAATGTTGTTTTCAAAACTCCCCTTTACTCAATTAATAAAGTGTTGAAGTACGCGGGTTTTTTCAACAAGATAAGAAAATAAGAATCTTGAATGGATGATATGATAAATCACTCTACACGACTGGACGATCACGTGACTAAGTTTAACACGTTTTCTAGATGACTCCGATTTAATGGCCAGCTCGATTATGGTGTTGTCAAATGAAGATGACGTCTGAGATCTTTTTTATGCTTTTTAAATGTTTATTTTTTCCAGGGAGCAGTGCACGAGATTGGACATGCTCTAGGATTAAAACATACTAAAGTAAAAGACAGTGTGATGAATCCTGTCTACAAGAGAGGAGTGTTTGATAAACTCGGAGATGATGATATTGAGGGAATTATTAAGCTGTACGGCACTGGTGAGTCCCTATGTTATCCTTTTTACTTTTTAGATAATTTAACTGATATGTTATCCAGGAAGTGGTTCCGATCCCCATCGGCTTTAATATGATAAAAATGTTCTTGCCTTTCAAATATTTTTACAATAACTACTGGGTCCTTATCGATTACTAGCGTAACTACCATATTCTCATATTTTGTGTTGATTATTTTGACTGCTTACTTTTGATGGTTGTTACTTTTGAAATATTTTCACTGAATTTAATTTTAAACATCTTTCAGCAACTAAAAAAGTCACAGAAGCAGTAACGACAATGGCCCCTTGGGACGCTTCAGCCAGCACCGATTTCGCTATGATGAGTTCAACTAAAGAAACTTGCATAGTTGCCGATAAAATTGATGCTGTTTTAACCATAGGTCAGTAATTTTTGTTAAGTAATTACTAATATTATGTAATTAAACGATAATAATTGTTTGATTAACAAATTGTAAGTCAAGTACGTATTGAAAGCGGACTTTATAAGGCTGCAGCCTCATAACTCTATTGGGAATTCTACCGGGAAAAACTTTAAACACAAGGAAAATTCTCAGCCAAAATGTCCCCTGTAAGAGTAAATCGAACCTGTTGACTTAAAGTGTGATTAACAACATTAAGTGTTGTCAGTTTAAATTGGCCCCTGACATCTTGGCTATGGCTTGGGTTTCTCGGAACTAGCGGTAACAGCTTTGTTGCGATTAATCAACTTCACCACATGTATTGACTATGAAAACAAAGTTTTTGTAAGAAAGTAAGAAGCATAGACGGGTCAGGCGCCAATTCAAAATTAAGGAATACGTACTTTAGTTCTACACGTACCCTAGTTCGACGGTTTGTTAAACAAAGAATTGAAACTGTTAAGTTGTATACAATCATCGTAATATAATCAGCTACATAATCATATAACATGATAACATAATCATTATTCAATCAACCCATTTCTTTTAAATACATCATTTTCAATAATTATTGTGATTGTAAATAAAAGATTTAGTTTAAGTAATTTCAACGATTTAGTGTACAAAGCTCATGATAGACGTCTTTGGAGAAGTTATGGGTGAGTCGAGACTACTCGGCCACTCGATTTTACGATTTAATTTCTATTATCTTGTGTTTGCTGTATATAGTTGATTAATAATTTTCAATAAATGAATAAAAGTAATAATAATCCATTCATATTTTCAGGTAAAGCGTTCTTCATGTTCCGAGGAGACCAAGTGTGGATGTATAACCAGCAGGACTCCATGCCCCACTATCCCGTTAAAATATCCTCCGTCTTTCCCGGGATATCCGGTCCTATCACCGCTGCCATGGCTGGTATCAACAACAAAATTTACTTCTTCAGGTAAATATGTAGTAGGTTTCTTTTGTAGAAGGCGCAAAACTACGTCCCTGTTATTATAGTAGGCTCAAACTACTGTTGCAAAACTTGATTTTTTGTTAGATTTTTAACAGAATAAAATTCTTAACAATAGTCTTAACACAAACTTCCATCGCGTAATCTTAGTTCATATTCGGCTTCTTCTTTTGTGATTGCTGGTGTGTTATAGTCTAACATTTCCAGTTTCACCCAATTCAACAAACTGCTTTGTAGATAATACAAAAACTTAACAAAATCTAAACATCATTTCACTCCACCTCTTTGACTTTAGTAATTCAGCCATTTTAAAGTCCAACATAAAGTTAAACATTTCCTCATCACTCAGGAACAAAATGCTATGGAGGTGGGACTGGGTCAGGAAGTCTGTGGATCGTGGCTTTCCTAAACATGTCAAAGATTTTGGAGGAATTCACGACAATATCGTAGCCGCTTTCAAGTATGTTTCATCATTTATCTTTTTGATATTTGCTCGGTAGGATGAAATATTTTGGAATTCCTTTCTTGCTCTTAAAACTGTTTTTTTGTCAAAACATTTGTTGCGGTGTTTGCGGTCTTATAGCGTGATAGATGGCTCTAGTAATGTTTATTGCTTTATTGCCTATACTCCTATAGTCTGATAGGACATTGAACAATAGGTTATTGAACCATCGCACCGTGAAACACACCAAACTTTTATAACACTGCCTGTTATACCTATTACCTAACATGACAACAGTTCCTAATATGGTATATGATAACATATCCAGTCACATCAACCATCACAACAAACCTTTAAAAGCAGTTAATTTATCCGCTTTAAAAATAGTTATTAAATAATGTTCTTTTAACTTCACAGTTAAAATCTCTCAGGTGGTCCCACAACAGTAAGGGTTACTTGTTCGGTAGCAACGGGAAGTACTGGAGATACGACTTCTGGAGCAATGTGAGTATTCGTATAACTTCTTCTTGTTTAGATGATATTAATAAATCATACGTGGTATAATCACTAAAAATAATTCATCGATGACAGATTGATTGACAGATTGATTTAGATTACCTGATTTATATTCATTCTCTAACGCCTTTAATTTGAGGGGGCTATTAATATTATACCTCAAAGGCTGGCCACAATAGAATTAACAGATTCACCGAGATGGCTTCAACTGAAGCCGTAATGGCACCATGTCAGTTGTATGTCAACAATAAGTATGAACAGTCTCAGATCCCTCAATTTGGTGCCATGACCTTTAAATCAGTCTATTGCGTAACACTCAAAATATTCGGATGTTAGAATGTTGGAGGCTTTAACATGGAGCGTGGGGTGATTCGGAAATTTGGAACTTACATGGGGTCTCAAAATAGAATGTGGCAGCACCGATGGGTCTCCGACGACAAATCAGGGTGCTGAAACAAAGGAAAATTTCTTAAAATTCTTTAGCAAAATTATCGGTTGTTTTCTTGAGGTTTTTGTAATCGTGATGACATGTTGTAGCTATCTCCGGGTTGCTGATACATATCTTGGTATGCGGATAAATTAACCGTGAAATATGTTTCAATGGTTTCGGGAGTCTGATATAATGGCCCGATGAACACATAAGTATTTTAGGAAAAAAGCTTTCAAATAATGTAACTAAAGCGGTCGTTTTTTCCTGATGGATTTAATGGTACATTTTGTAGCGACCTAAATTTCAGTTCGGTTTGGCAATCAAAAACATACGGTCTGGTTTGCATCTGGTTAAAAGTTCGACAAAAAAAAAGGTCTTAGCCCCAGCCATTTTTTTTCTATCAGCTCACACGCATGATAATCGATTTATTTAACAATAACAACGATTCTAATACATTTTCTTTTTCAGAGAATAGATCCTGGGTATCCCCGAACTATTAGAACCTGGAGAGGAATTCCTAACTCCCTGGACGCCATCACCTCGGCTCCTGACGGCAAAACTTACGTTTTTAAAGATAAAGTACGTGTCAAATTATATAAATTATTAACTAACTTTGTTGTAACATCAAGGAGGCACAATTTAATTTAATTCCGCTTGTTACGATTTTTAAAATCAAGAACGTGTCAATATGGTGGCTGAATCAAAATTATTAACTTATTTTGCTTCAACATTAAGGAGGCATAATATAATCAAAATAAAGTCCGCTTGTTAAACCAGTTAGTCCGTTAAGCAATAGCAAGTACTCGTTATTTTTATAGTCAAAATATCAAGTTTGAAAAGTTACTCGACATCAAAGCTGAAATCATTAGAATCATCTTGAACATTATTCCAGTTACCAGTACCACTAATCACCATATTCACACTTTTTAACCGCGACATATGTCATGGTAATTTGTAATACACCACTTTCAAATCCCCTCACTCATTCGCATTGATCAGCTACAAATAAATCTATCATGTACATGTTTTAACTTGCATTGTTGTAAAGGGTCTCTTAAAGTCTCGAATGCAGAACCTTTAATGGATTCTTTTCTATATTCTAACATGGCCACCTTTCACTGCATCGTTACTTCTCTGACCGCTTTTCTTAGACTTTCATGAATCATACAAATTTAAAATATTGCATTCTGGGGACATAGCTTAGGAGGGGACCTGTCAGTCTATAGTTACTTTAAGCTATTCAGTTGTAATTGTATAACATGACCCCGTTGGCAACTCTACAATATTTACTTATTTAAGTTATGCAGATGAGTGTCGTAGGTGAAGCTATAATTAGATATGTCATATGCATTATGCACTACTTTTTTAACACTAACAGCAATACTTTTCAATACTTTCAGTGCTATTAAAATACAAGTAATACATTTATAGTCAGTTAACATTAAACTGATTATGTTGGTTCATGCTATATTTTCGTTATTTAACCTATCCAAGTTAAAGACTATAACAAACTTCAACCCCGCAGAGTTACTGGTTGTACAGCAACAGACTCTACAGACTTCAAGGTCAGAGATACGACACTGAAAACAAGTGGCTCTCCTGTGAAGATCATAACGCTAACTTCGTGGTAAGTAAACGTCCTATCTACGTGGTTGAATAGCCGATAGCTTGTAGATATAAATTCTCCAGGGATTTTTGGCAAGTTTTATCAAGCGGCCACTGTCGTAAAGTCAACGTATGGCGGCTATAAATGAAGGCTTTTGAGATACCAACCAGTGTTTTTTGTGGTCTTTTCTCCTAATGATTATTCAGATAAAGGATCCTTTTTACAAAACTTTTGATGCAATAAATATTTGTAAACTTATCAGATCCCTATGATATTTTATATTACTACTTCGGATTTGTGTAAAGTTTGATAATGATAAATGGGATTACAAGAAATAATGATTATAACACAATATATTTTCAGTCAATGGAGGATGGTAGCGAGGAAGTGGCAGCCCTTGTTGACTCCTCATCTTCCTCTGGGCACATTGCCAGCACAATGCTTGTGTCCGTCCTTGCACTTCGTATAGTCTGAGGAAACCAGCCCTGTAGATTAAAACTCGGTCCTTCCTAGTGAGGACTTGAGGTCTGAAACTACTAAAGAAAAGAATGTGAAAATGGCGAAGAAACTGCAGGCCGGAACATTAGGAATTGAACTTTGGTGGTTGGTTTTTGTATTTGGCGAGGGATCAAACGGACAATTTAGTATCAGATTATTTATTTGATATTAATAAAACAAACGTTTTAATCAGTTTGATATGTATGCACCAATTTCCACTTCCAGTTCTACAGTTCTATTTACTTATTTAATGAATTTATAGCAATATTGCATGAGAGACCTGGTCTTCATCAATATTTCGTTTCTTTGATTTTTACAGAATTTTACTTTTATAACTTCATGCCTTTGCTAAATCCTTTGCGTACTCTTGCAAATGTTTCTTTATTTCCACAAAACATCATCATATACGTTATTAAATTTAGCGTAGATATTTGAGATAATTTCGTTTTGTGATAAGTAATTAGATAAATCTTGTTATGATTTATGTGATTTCTATTATGGGATTGAATAACACTATATCTCTAAACTTTTGTCAACCTTTTGTTAATGCTAGATAAGCCTGGGCTGAGCATGCATAGGTTACCGATAGTTCGATTACTGATACTCGACGGTGAGAAAATTCTTGGGAATTTTCATTTACTTTATATTTTGACTATTTATACATGGTTTTTGTAATACTAACATAAAATTGAGTTGTATTATATCTGTACAGTACAGTATATAATGATATTAGTATTAGTATAACAACTCTTGTGAAGTGATATTTAATTTATTTTATTTCATTTTTAATATATTGTTTTATTCGCATTCTTGAGTCCATTAATTAAGACAACTGAGGGACCAGTTGAGTATTTTTCTATTAGGCCACTAGTTACTAATACTAAGCAGTATGAATCCAAATAATGAAGCCAAATTCGTGGTGATAAAATTTAATTGTGAATACAATTATAAGAATTATACATCTGTGATCTGACACGCAAAATTGAAAAAGATGGGGGTTTGTTCACATGCACCTACAAAAATCATTGTTAATTAATTCTATGACATCATAATGCAAACGCCGTCATATACCATCTGTACGCAGCATTATTAGATTAAAAACTTAACACAATCAACAATCACATATTTCTACTCTTTTGAAGAATGTACTTTTTCCCACCGTGAAAGATAAACTCATTGTCCTCTTCATCATCAGTAAGAAAACTACTATTGTCCCCTGGGTTGGCCACTGGGTGGGTCTGATACTGTAGGATCAGACCTATGGAACTCACAACCGCCATAAAAGCAAACAGAGCATTAGCCAGCCAGAAATCTTTACCCGGTAATCCACTAAACATGGAGAAGCAGTACCACAGAAAGGACAAGAAGGTAGTCAGACTTGAGATTCCGTAAGCGACAGGGAACTTTGAGATACCGAATATTTCGTAGAGAACCATAGCGCTGACTGCACTGAAGCCTCCAAACCCGAACAGGATCATATCATAACAGGACAAGAACCAGATCTTACCCTCTTGTGCTGCAAATATCATCATGACTGAAGCAGTAAACGCTAGCAAACAGTTCAGGAGAAGCAGTTTAGGGCTGGTTCCAGTGGAGTTGGAGGACCGGGTGATGTCCAGTAAGATCCCCATGGTGAGCGACCCAACAGCTCCTGCGAAGGACCCGCTGCTGCCCACTGCTGACAGGTAGTGCTCATCAGGGATGAAAGTCTCTCCGTACGTCTTGAGACTTGATCTGGCGCATAGACCCGACACTCCAGCGAACTCAAAGGCTATGAGAGTCAGTATGAACCTTACATCAGACAGGATCTTAGAGACGGTTTCTTTGCACGCGGTGAAGAAAGGCATGATCTCCTCTTCTAAAGGTGGAGGTGAGGGGTATATTCTGTAAACTACCAGAGTGTACATCAGTAACACCGCCATACACCCACCCATGATCCAATAAAAGTCACTACACCTGTCCAGTACGTCTTGGTTATCATAGTACCATTCAAATGCTGTGGAGTTCAGCATTTCTGGTTTGATGTTCAGGGGGTTAACCACAGCTCGTTCCCAGATATGGAATATGGCGGTTGATCCGAATGCCACGCCCAGGAGAGAACCACTGACTATACCCCAGTGTGCTTTAAAGTTTCGGAGGCACCTCAGAAGAACACTGATGTTTATCGTCTGAGCAGAAAATCCTAAACAGATGGCTCCAGCGATTACAAAGCTGTAATGGAATGCAACTCCTAGAAAGATCATCATGTAACCTAGCCCAAACACCCCGGCTCCTAATGTTAAACTAATGTTAACAGGCAGTCCTGATATCATGATACCCAGTGGGTAGCCACTCATCCCATTACTAGCTGCAATTAGCAGCAGAAACAGTTTACCATCTTCCAGGGTAATGTCCGGTTTAGAGCCCCGTATCTTTACATAACTCACAAAGTATGGTATGTAGAAGTTGAAGATGAAGATAGCACCACAACATACCTCCGCAGCTAGACTTGATGTGAGAATCAGGAAACTTTGGAGGACGGTGAGTTCTCGGGGGCGGTTTGAATCTTCATCTACTAAACTGTACTGGTCGGATGGTCGGTGTGCCCGCCTCATGTACTCATTCTGTTTCTATAACCTGGTCTTTACCACGTGCAACTCCCAATATAATTACAATATAACGTTGTAAGTATGAGTTGACCCTATTTGGTGGAAATCAGCCAAATTTGCCAAAACCTGCGATCTGCGTACTATGTATCAAAACACGTTAACACAAAGACACGAGTATAATGAAGACAACACTAGTATGGACTACCGCTTTGAGATGGAAACGTTGCATAATACCGTATACCCAAACAGCTGTTGCCACAGAGAGAGGCCAGGGGTGGCTGATCGGCCAGTAGTTGTTTAATATCAGTGTCATGAGGGCTGGGTGGACCAATTGAAGTCAAGATGTGGGCCCACGTGCAAGTCACGTGGGAAAAGTAAAGGTCACGTGGGCTTGTGAGGCTATACACCTGAATGTACCTCATTAAGCTATGTTTGGTATAATTCGAGACCAAGAGCAAGTGAGCGTTATTATATTCGGGATATTTGGATGTGGTGGACACACAAAAGGGCTATCAGACAGCATAATAACCAATTGTTATTATCGGGCAGGATCTTGTCTGTGTCAATATGTCATTTGTTGACAATCATGATTGCGATAATTCTATAAGTATAATTGTAATTAGATTGCTGGAGTTGGACAGCATCCAGAATGGCACACGGACTTAAGTTCAACAAGTATTACAGTTCGACACGCACCCTAAAGTTCGATTCTGTCGAACTAGAGTACGCTACATGGACTTTATTTTGTACTTCTGTTTAGGGCCTGTCGTGATATCATGGATCGCTTAGGTTCCACCAGGATCTGGTAGTCCTCATAATTCTGCGGCCTCTATGTGTCGTCATCTCGCACAACTCTTTAAGAATCTTGTGGATTTGGCATGTGAAAATTTGCAGCCTTCCAGACATTGATTGGGTTAACGAGGTGTCGTACGTCACCTCAAGATCGGGTGACAGGGGGCTGACCAGGCCAGAACCCAATTGATTGGGCCTGAGGTCACGTGATTATGAGCCTGAGGTCACGTGACTATGACGTCACCAGACCTTCCTCTCCGTTTCCCGCTCATTGGACCAGGTGAGCTTGCATGCATGTGAATGTGGGTGTAAGTATAGCTGTACTGTAGTTTATACCTAATTAAACCCCTATAGAAACCGACAATTCTAGAAAGCTAGAAATTTACCAAAATATCGTCATTGTTTTAAATTTATTTTGATGACCATTCCTGACCTAAAATCGCACGAGAAATCGATTAAACTTAGTTTCAGAACTCAACAATGCTTCCTTATGCCTCAAAATCCATGTTTTATCGATACAATCAACATATCGATCCTGTAGTTCAACTTATTACTTAAAGGGTTCAAGTATAGTTACGCGGTAGACAAACTAAAACAAAATTGTAGGTTTATAACCTACCAGGACGTGTGCCGAGTTAAGCTCGAGTCGAAGGTAATATTTGGAACAAATGTTTTACGAGTACCACCCGTTAAAAACAAAACACCAGTTTAATTGTCCTTTTGTCTGAACCATATGGTTAAGTGTTAGCTGTATACAATACGTCAAAAAATCATATCAACGAATCGTATCAAAGTCCATCATCAGTTAGTAACAGTAAGCTACAGACGTTTTTTGTGACAATACAAGAAATAATGGATGAGCTCCTACTTGTGAGCCACTTAGGAAATACAATATATCTGATTTATTGTAATTTCACTTCTTCTGCTTTTTCGTTTGCTGTCTGTGCTCTGCGACAGCAATTTGTTGCCCAGATTTCCTATCCTCCCATACCACCTTCTTACCACAGGTTGACATAAGCGCCACTTGCCTCTCAACAGCTTGGTTGTTGTTAACAAATGCTGTTTTGAGAGGCATTCTTATAAATGATATAATAGCGGCTCTCGTCAGACCACGTAGCAAGGGGGGTAGGGTTACCCGAGCATACTCCTTCTTTGCTGAGGATAATTGTGTTATTTTGTATTTACATCATGTACTGAGCCTGAAGAAACTATAACCTAACTCGAACACGTTAGTTCTAGTAGTAGTATAATAATATGTCGAATGAATGATTGATTAAGCTGATCGTTAACATATGACAAATATTATGGAAAAAAGTATCTTTGATAATAATAATTATTACCGACTCCCGTTTTAAACCACCATCCACAAGAATCCTCCTTGTAGATGGGGAACTCAGTGAACTTCCTTGCGGTCATGTCCAAGTATGGCTTGTAAAAAACCCTCACACGTCGGGAGGGTGGCACCTTCTCCTCCCAGTCAAGGATTTTCAGACAATCGGCCACACCCTCCCTCCGCACATCTTGTTCATCATCGGCTGAAATTCATCATTCAATCAAATTTAAAAGATTTTATAGAAATGAATAATATATCCCAATTACTTAAACTGATAAAGTGCTACGTAGGACACATTATGAAACATCATTTAAAGGCTGTGTTATGGTGTTAAATAAATACCTAGTTTAGCGAGAATGACTGATTCAGGGTGTCCGAAATAGCAGTCATGTCACGAAGAATATTAGTCATCGTGACATTTCTGATGCCATGCCTCATCATGGATCCAGTGACCATATCGACAGCAGGGTTAATCTCCAACTCCCTTCTTGCGTAATTTAGCAGCCTTTTTTAGCGTAATCTTAATTAAAACTGCTGCCATTGGTCGATGTATTCTATCAGTAGAATAAGCTGTTGCAATTGGCCACACATTGTTAACTAATGCACCCTACTAACGCGTGTCTTACTCCGCAAAACCATCCAAAAGCTATACACTAATCCTACCTAATCTTACACTCAGCTCTTATGGCTATTCTACACTCATACTAGAACATTCTAAAAGATCGATTATTACGCTAAAACCCTGCTGTGTACAGCTTATTGGCCACTGTGTATGTGCTCGTAGTCATATAATATATATGTGTGAAAAGATGCCGATAATACTTCCAGATTATTTCTCGAATAAATTCATAAATAACCTTATAAAATAAAACATTATATTAATATAAAAAGTAGTTGTCTTTTCCATTTATACTGTACCAATCGCCGACTCACGAAAATTGAAATAACAGACACTTTAAAAAGCTGCCCAACTGAAATTGCACAAATTGCAATACAACTGCCACATAATTTAACTTGCCAGTGATTTAGTCTTATGGGAACCTACGCACGGTAGAGCACAGCAAGGCCGACCAAGACAAAGCTACTTGTCTATGTTACTGAAGGAAGTTGGGACAAACTCTAAAGAGGAACTGCGAACCCTGATGCGGGACAGGGATATATGGAGGGGGTTTTCTGGCGTAGATCGGACTTAGCTCCGACATAGTAGTAGTAGTAGTAGTAGTAAGTTTATTTAACGGGTGATACTCTTAAAATATTTGTTCCAAATATTACCTTCGACTCGAGCTTAACTCGGCACACGTCCTGGTAGGTTATAAACCTACAATTTTGTTTTAGTTTGTCTACCGCGTAACTATACTTGAACCCTTTAAGTAATAAGTTGAACTACAGGATCGATATGTTGATTGTATCGATAAAACATGGATTTTGAGGCATAAGGAAGCATTGTTGAGTTCTGAAACTAAGTTTAATCGATTTCTCGTGCGATTTTAGGTCAGGAATGGTCTTCAAAATAAATTTAAAACAATGACGATATTTTAGTAAATTTCTAGCTTTCTGCCAGAAAATAAATTGTCGGTTTCTATAGGGGTTTAATTAGGTATAAACTACAGTACAGCTATACTTACACCCACATTCACATGCATGCAAGCTCACCTGGTCCAATGAGCGGGAAACGGAGAGGAAGGTCTGGTGACGTCATAGTCACGTGACCTCAGGCTCATAATCACGTGACCTCAGGCCCAATCAATTGGGTTCTGGCCTGGTCAGCCCCCTGTCACCCGATCTTGAGGTGACGTACGACACCTCGTTAACCCAATCAATGTCTGGAAGGCTGCAAATTTTCACATGCCAAATCCACAAGATTCTTAAAGAGTTGTGCGAGATGACGACACATAGAGGCCGCAGAATTATGAGGACTACCAGATCCTGGTGGAACCTAAGCGATCCATGATATCACGACAGGCCCTAACTTCTGTTATATAGCTGAAGTTCGAAAGGGGTGATTAATGGCGAACTTTAGTTGTTGAATTATAGCCTAAGTCATAAGTGTCGAACTAGAATAATTTTTCGCCCAAAAGTCCAAAGTATAATAGGTAACGTGCAATTAATACTTTTGATGAGTGATCGTGTATACAGAAAAAAATAAATATACCCAAAAATAATATATACCCACGCTTCAAGTGAAACTCTGAGACGGACACCATGATGAATTGGAACAGTCTCCAGTTGATTTTTTTACGCTTCATAAAATTATACTAAAGTTCTAAGACATATGGCTATGCAGTGCTGTTCCAATATATAATACAAACCATAACCGTTAAAAGCTGTATTTTATTAGGCATTTATCTTTTCTTTCGACGATTTAGCAGCTAAGTTCCTGCTCTTGAAGACACAATCTGGATGAGTCATTGCAGGGCCTAAGAAATATTTTGCACCAGTATTTTGTCGAGCTGAACATCTTGCACCCTTTGAACAGTATGCACTCTAGTTCGACACGTACTGTAGTTCGACAAACCCTAAGGTTCGACTCTGTCGAACTAAAGTGCGCTACCTGGACTCAAGTTCGACACGTACTAAAGTTCGACAAGAGAATTACTGACGAACTAGAGTTTTGCAACGATCCTTTACGAGCTTGAAATATAATTATATTCGTTTGTTTGTTTTACACTTGTTTCATGCTGTTCAACTATGTGTGAATGTAATCTCTGTAATCCATATCTATGAACATTTAATCGACCCCCGACTCAATTGTTAGTTAGCAGAATCGTAGACTTAGCGGAGAAATAAAAGACTATCGTGGTAACTCATACTCCGTTTTAATTTTATAGCTCTAGATTGTAGACTAGACAGTAGAGTACGATATATCAAGGTCAAAAGGAAA